ATTTCAAGTGTTTAAACAAAAAATTAACAACAACATATAATTATTTGTTTGATTTCATCAAATAGAAGTTAGAAAAAATTGATTAAGTTCTAAAGTATAGTTCTCGTGACAATAATAATTCGGACTCAAAGATCCACTATATTACTTCTTACGATATCGTCTTCCGATATAAAAAAGTAAGTGGTTTTTGGCGCCGCTGCTAATGATCCATTTACTTTTAGTCTTAATTTATTTTATTTTTAACTGTTATTTGATTTTTTTTATTTTCTTTTATTAACAGATAAAGATGTTTGTTGTATGCTCCGTACCAATATGACAATCTTGAATTGTTTGATTCGGAGATGGAACGCACTTTCAGATGAAGACGCAAAGAACACAAATAGAAACAATAACATCAAATGACTGACGCTCAAAATATCCCTATTCCTATATAGTCAATCGAACAAGTTATCGAGAGAGTAGCGGCACCACTGGATCAACAACTTGAGCGAGTGGAAATAAATGAAGGGGACTTGCCAATTTCAATGTTCTGATGCCAGTAGCAGTACCCGCGTGCTCCAGTATAGTATTTCTAGATTTTCAAGATGAACAACTTTCAGATAATGGCAGATTGGATTAACTTGACCAGTTACACTCTCCAATTTTATGGTTTAGCTCATGAAAACCTGAACAGACATATCTCTAGATTCCCAAAAAAATTTCAGAATTTTCATGCACCGGCAGTCAATGAAGACGCTATTAACCTGCGATTATGAGCTTGTTTGGGAGGGATTTTAATCCAATTAAAATTGAAAATATAGCTGTTATTGGGTCTCACTCGCTAATAAAAGTCAACAATAACGGCTAGTTTTTCAATTTTAATCCGACTTTAATCCCTCCCAAACAAGCTATATTTCTCTATACATTGCGAGATGCTGCATTTGAACGGTTAGATGCTGAACCTCATGGACGGATTACTACATAGAAGGATCTGATTAGGAAATTCTACAATATGTTTTTTTCCCATTGGCAAAAGTAGCAAAAATCAGATTGAAAATTCAAACTTCACAACAGAGAGATGGGGAAAGTTATCACGAGGCATGTAACAGATTCAATTAGTAAATGAGAAATTGTCCAAATTATGGGATCACCATAAGTAATCAAGTGCAATACCTCTACATCAGACTGTCATATTGTCAAAATCTCAAGTGAATTCCTCTGCTGGTGGATCGATCATTGGAAAATCCGTAAATAATGCATGGATTTTTTTGAGTTAATTGCCACGACACATTCAATGTTTTCACCATAAAGAGAGGTACTATAGAAAGCGGCTGAAATTTATGAATTGGACAACACAACATCTACCAACGCACATATTACAACTTTAACAAAACATGTAGAGTTACTGCTAAAACCACAAACACAATGAGCACATGCTGTGATAACCAATCCAGTATGTGAAAATTGTGGAGCCAGTCATTTCACAGAAAATTGATTGTCTATGGTTTTTCTTGAAGAACAAGTAAACTTCATTTAAAATGGTTTCTGCAATTTCAACCCA